AAAAAGGAGACTAATGACACCATGACACATACATTGGAATACAACAAAAGTGTGTTTACTATAGCATAAAAACGTGTGCAGGAATAAACTCAAAGAAAAATGAGAACAAAGGAAATATAACTTAGAAAAGCGATGAAGGTCAGAGAAATGTGATAAAAATAACAATAAATGAAAGACCACAACTTAAATATGTGTATGCGTTCGCAATTCGCCAATTTCTTTTCGTCTTTCACAATAGAAGGCAATCGTGTTAAAATAATTGGATATAATTATTTAGAATGAGAACGAACTAGAAAACTTTTTGGACTTTGCGTCGCTTTTCCATCTTTCTTCTTTTCTTCTCTTCCAATGACAATCAAAACACTGTTCCCTATAGTATAAGATTGTGAGTTGTTCGATTTAGAACACATTTTTCGTGTTGATGATAATATGGCCAGTGTTAAACACAACTTTGTTTACGATTTTCAAATATTGATACTTATTTTTAAGCAAATTTTTTTAATATTAGAATATGACGAATATAAATACCTTTCTTCATAGAGTTTTTCTTATAAAATTACATCCAATTATATTTTATTGAGAAAGTAAAGAAAATCAACAAGAAAATGTTTCTGAGCAAATAAGCACATAAGAGAGAAGTTTATCATTCTTCCAATGAGGACTATATTTTTCTTCAAGTCTGGGTACGTTTTAACAATTTTAGATTCCAACTTTGTTTTTTTTGCCATTAGGAAAGATTTTAAAGCTATTCCAAGTCCATATATGGATGTTATATATATTTAACATAGAGAGGAATTGTAGGCTTCTAACTTAAATATTATTCGACAAAAAACAGTTTCTGTTTGTGAATAGAGACTTTTTATGAAAATTGCATGGGAATAACATTGAACTATAGAGTTTTTTTTTTTATTGTAGCCTTACATATGCATTATGAAATGAAGAGGAATTGTAGGTTTCTGAATATTGAAGATAAATCTTTTGGAACTCTTGTATGGTGGATTGTCAGATAAATAGACAATTCTGATTTTTGTTTTTACGAAAACCGGGGCCCGTTACGGGTCCATAACCAATAGTTGAGAATAGTTTATCTTCTTTTCTTGATATATTTCTATGTTTTATTTTTTTTAAAAAAAAAATTATTTCAATTGCTAGAATGACAGCAAAAAAATTATGACTTTTTGTGAAAACAATACTTGTCTCGATTCTGATATTCATAAGCCGTATGCGGTGTGTATTAAGATATATGATAATATACAATAACATATATCTTGTACGACTTTCAATTATAGGTACAGAGATTTTCAAATTATCACTTTCTTGATAATAACTACTTACAAGTGAAAATATTCACTTTTAATTTCTCTATATGTATTATTAAAAAATTAAATACACATAAAGAAATAAAAAATATGTTTTTAAAATATGCATTTTACAGAAGGAAATAATGAAAGAGTATAATAATAAAAAAAAAACAAATGAGAACATCAATGAACAAATGTGGTAATATCAGGATGAAATGCTTTGACTTGACTTTAAATATGACATAAGTTGGTACAACTATTTATTTAACCTTGTTTATTGGTAGATTTATCTCATTCTCTAAAGGTGCTTTATCCTAGAGTGAAAGAATAATTATAAGAACTTAACAAAGTTATGGTATGAATTTCCTTTTTTGTCTAATTTGGCTTTCACATTTGAATTTCATAAAATAGGATTTTAAATAAATTAAGCTTACGCGTGTCAACATTTCATTTATATATTTTTTTAAATCGAGTTAAAAAGTGGAGAAAATGTTTTTATAGCTACTTATCTTTTAAAGTTTTTTCTTTTGCCCCTTTTGTTTTACCGGTTAAAGTAAAAAAAACTTGCATAAACCACGGCGCTTAAAAAAGTAATTTAAATAAAAATAAATTTCATTGCCGCCCAAAAGTTTTCTTAAGCCGAAAATGCTTAATTAATCACTTACCTGTGGTTGCGCTATTGTGATATGATATTCTCTTTTTGCTTCTTATTTATTTTTATTATTGTTTTTTTTCTGGTTTTCAGGAGCTTACAGCCTCAGAATGAGATTTGAAAAAATTGTGAAACTTATTTAACCATATTCAATTATCATTTAGTTGTTTTTTGAAATTATAAGAAAATAATATATGGACCTACAAAGAAAATTTACTAAGCATACAGATTTTAGAGAGAAAATACAAACACAAACAAAAAAAAGAGATAGGAAAAAAATCGATGTGGAACATGAAAACGAAACAAGCTTTTCACATTTTTATGATTGTCTTTTATTTTTTTTTTCACTATACAAGCTTCCATCGTATGATATATCATGTAATATATAAATGTTGTCCGGGTCTTTCAACACCAAACATAATTTGTTTAAATGCCATGGAAAAAAGTCTCTTGTTCAAACTTTTATGAGAACTTTTATCATTTGTATGGAGATTCAGAAAATCAAGCAACAAATGAAGTAAAAATGTTGTCATTTTGTCACTTATTGATTATACACTATTTTATTATAATTTATTATTTATAAGATTGATTAAGAAAAATTTGAAATATTTTTAAATATAATTTTCATCAAAATATAATTTTCAACGTTGACTCTAATGTTAAGAAATTAGCTTGTGCTGATAATTTCTTTTCACTTAGCTGTCAAAAAGTGGTAAATGGCAATAAAATATAAACTTTGAATATTATTGAAAATAAGGGTTGCAACCGGTTGTGTTAAGCATACAAAGCATTGATTGTTATTACCAAGATTTTACTATGGAAATGCAATTATTGTTTTAAATAACAGTGAACTTTAAAAAATAGAAACAGATTTGACTGACATTTTAAATAATTAGATTTAGAAATTAAATTATGCAACAACGTTTCTAAAATCTTTAAGTTCTACCTAATTTTAACATTATATTCTTAATTCTATATTTTGTTATATAAGCTCAGACATACAACGTAGTTGAAAGCAGTTGTGTGTCCAGCAGCTAATTAAAAACACTTTATATCTTAGGAAAAGTGTTCATTTCAACTTTTGTTCCAATTGTAAGTAGATATATGACTGTTCCAGGAGAATCCTTGACAGCGAGTTTAAGGTTCTCGTATCTTCCTCATTTCGTAACCCGATGTTCCTACATTTCACATTGTCTTTTTCTTAGATTTACGTCTTAAACTGTTTTACCTAAAAAACCAAGGTATTGTGAGAAATCATTAGACTTTGTTTGACATTAAATCTATATAAAGATTTTAATATAATTTCGAGGAACACTATCCATGAATTATGACCATTTTTTGGTACCTATATTTATAACCTAGCGGTAACTTCGATTTAACTTTTCTCTTGTTTTTTTTTCAAAATTAAACATCTAATGTAACTGTCAGATGAATCATTACTTCGACACAGGCGCATTCTAAAAAAAATGTGAACTTTTCAAGCAAACGTGTTAATAGTGGTCCATATCAGAGGAAACAAAAATTAATTTTCATCACTTTTATCTTACTTGAAACATGTTTTAACAACGTCTGCATGAACAATATGTTATCTGTTGTGAACGACAGAAAATAAAAAGCACAAAAAGCACGAAAAGTATAATTTTCATGATATTATAAGTAAAGCTCGCGCACATGAATGATGTTCATTATCAGCCAGACATGTAAAGATTTTTTGTACAAAGCATAGGATGTAAAAACAAAGTAACATGAAATGAAAGCAGCCATCCGTAGTTGAGTGGAATATTAAAAATTGAACAAGCCAAAACAATCTTTCTATTCTCATGTACTGCCATTGACATTACATATTCATCTAATATTCTTCTGTTTCTTTTCTCCTTATTTTGTTTTCTTTTATTAACATTTGGAACATTTTAAACGGAATAAAAAAAAATAGAAAAATCTCTCGTTTCGTTTCCGCTTCGATTATAAGAACTTTTGATTTCAATCATCAATTTAATTCAAAACGATTATACAAAGGATTCATCCAAAAAAACTAGCACTTTCCATAATTGTAACTCTAATTATGTTTTTTAATAATTTTAAAAATGTCTGTTATGTATAATTATTTTGTACAATTTAACAACATAAAAAATTTTAACAAGAAACATAGTAATTTTAAAAAAATAATAAAGTAAGAGTTATATATTTTTACAGGCATATTGTCAATTTATCGCTGTGTTACCTAGTTATCATGCTTTTCTAAGAAAAAACAATGTTTGATAGTCATCAACTTAAGTACTAAGAACGCAGAAAGTTTTCAATACCAAGTATCATCATGAACAAATTTTATTTAAAATATAGTGAAAATTAAAAATGCTGATCACAAAATATAATATAATTCATCTGTTCTTCAATTCAACTCCTAATCACGATAATTGATTGATTCACAAAGAAATTGATTTTGAAATTATTGCAATATGTTGCATTAAAAAGTGTATTAAAAAATTAATTACAAAAAATGGAAGAACGAAAACGATACAAATCTGAAATAAGAAAAGTATCTGTGTCATGTTGCTCAATTGTGGAATTTTGTGAGATATGAAGAAAATAAAAATGTTATTCTTCCTTAATATAAAATGATGGAAAAGTTTATCTTAAATAAGCGAAGAAAAAAAGTAACTACAACAACAACAACAAAAGAGAAGAATAACAAAGTAAAAATGAAAAATATAAGTTGGTGAAAAGTTTAAATAAAAATTGATTGAAAGAAAAAAAAACGAAATATAATAAAAGTGAATTAGTGAAAGCAATAATCATCGAGAATAGAAAAAATTCAATAAATTATTAGTGTTGTAGAATTTTAGGAAAATTGAAAGAATTTGAGGTGATTCGTTATATAAAATTCGTAATATTGTTGATCGTCATAAGTGTATGAGTAAAGAAATAAATGCAATATCATAATTGTTTAATGGTTACTATTCATTGATTTAAACTTTGTTCGATTTATGCGATAAATTCGAAACAACGAAAAAAAGAAGAAAAAATGAAAATGAATAAAATTTATTCTACCGAAAACCAGATACCAGATACATACAAAACAAATTAAGAAGGAAACTATTAAGTAATTTAATACTAAGAAAATTTTCGAGTAAAGTCATCCAATTTGTGTTGATGGTAGAAGTAAGAATAATTAATTAAAATTATCTTTGTTTTAAAAACTTGTGACTGAAATTTAAAAAAAAATATCACAATGCCGGGAGGACGGAGAGGATTAGTCGCTCCACAAAACACATTTCTTGAAAACATCATTAGAAGATCTAATTCACAACGTAAGTTTTTATATGAGAAAAATATTTTAATTATCTTAATTTTGTATATCATTTATGAAAGAAAATTAATTATTCATAATCATTCTGAACGATTTTGAATGTCAATCCGTTTTACTTCAAAGCAAAACAATTGTTAAAATTTCACGGATAACATTTATGCTCATTATGATCACAAATGCAAAAAAAAATCAATAAACCTTTTTTTTATGTTTGTGCATTTTTCATAATGTGTAGCCGATAGCTCCTTCCTACTAGCCAACGCTCAAATTGTTGACTTCCCAATAGTATATTGCAATGAATCATTTTGTAAAATAAGCGGATACAATCGAGCAGAAGTAATGCAGAAATCCTGCCGGTAAATATAAACCTTATATGCTAATACATCAAAAAAAAAACAATTTATTTGAATAAGAACTAAACACATGTGCTGCATTTTTTTCGAAGTTCAAAGTTTTGCCACCGTCATATTCAATTGTTGACAATACTAGTTTTTACTATATTTAATCAGGATTTACCTCATTTACTTTATGAACTTTTTTAAAGTATGCATTTTTTGAAAATTTAACTATTCTTGAACGCAATAGTGCATAAAGAAATATTAAAGTTGTTAACATATTTCTACAAAAATTGAATGCTTCAGAACGAAAAAGATCTGCACATAATTAAAACCAATTTTTAAAGCAAGTCCTAAGATACAAATATTCTTTTTACGAGTGTTTTGTATTGTAGTTGAATCAGTGGTGAAAAATCTTTTATATGCCATATTTAAAAAAAATCATCTCACATCAACCAATGAAACTAGTAAAGAGTTGATTTCTTGGTTATTCGCTGCACTTTTGAAAGACAAAAACAGGACAAAGGTTGTTCACTACTGAATTAAACTTATATCATGAAAAAATGCTCATACAAACACAAAATTGTGAAACATAAATTTATATATTGCTGTTAAAATTTAATTAAAATTCACAAAGCTGCGGATTTATGTATGGAGAATTAACTGATAAGGAAACGGTTGCACGTGTTGAGTACGCACTCGAGCATCAGCAGCATGATCAATTCGAGATACTACTTTACAAGAAAAACAGTAAGTGTAAACATATATTCTCTTTTAATGTATTTTTTTTTTTCACCAAAAAAAGAATGAAAAATTTTACGATTATATTTTCATAAATTACTGCAAAAGCAACTTCTTTATAATTTTTAGGACGATAAGTGCGGTCTTTCATACACACGTGTGATAAAATTGAGTATACTGTTTTCCCGTTATAGACCTCCACCCGTTATAAGCTTTAGGCTGCTTTTGTTTCTTTTAATAAGCATCTACCAATTTTCTATCAAATAAGGCTGTAAAGCAACTTTTAGATGTGTACGAATAGAAAACGTAAAAACTAGCTGATACAAAATGAATGTTTGAGTCGTATAAAATTAGTTTAATCAACAAAATCTTTAAAAAAAACTAAGTTCGTTTTGGTTTTTTAATAAGACTCTATTCGTTAATAAGCACTTTTTTTTACTCATCTAAGCCTAGGGCTTATAACGGGAAACAGAGTATTTAAAATTTCAAAGCTTTAGAAAAAAAGATAATAAAAAAGAAATAAGTCAGGAATTTTGTGTTCTTAAATTTAAATAGTTTCTTCAGGTATAAAAGTAAAGCGAATTTTTTTTGTCAGCATGATAAGTCATTAAAATTATAACCCAATATTTCACATTAGTTTGTCTGTTGAGCATATTCACCATTCTTACACTGCTCTCTAATTTAGAGTTTGCAGATGTTAATTTCAGAAGGTGCACATAAACTTAAATTAAAATAGATCATGCTTGTCAATAGAATTCAGTAATGCAATTTTTGGAAATATTTTAATTTTAACTAAATGATAAATAAAAACTGAATAATAGCAACTACTTCTTGGATTAAATGTTGATGTTTAAAAGTTAATTTCGTTTTATTGTGTGATATAAAATTATTTTAATTTGTTTTTTTTTTTTGCATTTTATGATTCATTTGGTTTTAATTTCATTCTTTTTGATTTTCTGATTGCAACATTCAAACTGAAAACTTGTAAATCAATCAAGAAACTAAATATGATAATTTCTTTTTCCCAACTCACCTTCCCCTATCTAACGTGATTAAAATTATGAATGAATATGTGTTAAGTAGCTACAGATAAGCAACGTAAGTTTATTTTGGTTTTAATTTTCTTTCCTTTTATCCCAATTTTGGTTTTGTTTTAAATACAAATTTGCAAAACATGTCCAGTACTTAAAATTTGAAAATTTCTATTAGATTTGAAGTATCTCTGATTTTCAGTTTTTTGATATTTCTTTAAATGCGTTTGCTAGTTCTCACATTTATTCTTTCTGCAACATCTTTTGCTGTATTTTGTTAAAATTATTCTTAAACATTTTCTGTCACAAATCACTTTAGAGCAAAGGGATCGTTCACTTATTACGTTACGCAAAAAAAAACTTTTTTTTCCACACCCCTTTGTTACAAACTTTTTTCTTTGTTTGAGCTGTTTGCAAAATCCTAGATCCCTCCTCCCACCTAAAAAGCGAACATAATAAGTGAAAAACCCAAAATTATATTCTTCTTTTATTACATATTGAAAAATCGAAAAGAAATTCTCCTGGTTACTTACTTTTAGAGTTTTCCATAAATTTTGCACAGTTTGATTCTTATTTTTCAGTTCTTTTTTTATTTTTTCTTTATAAATTACTTGATGGAAAAAAATTGTATCGAAAATATGTTTCGTTTGCGGTTTTTTTGACTTCTTTTGAATCTTTCATAAAACTAGTTTATGAACTTTCTTTAACAATCTCATTCGAAACATAATCAATTTGATGATTATCAAATCAATTTTTTTTAAAAAAAAACTTATTAAATTGGTCTTATGATAAATCATTCTTTTTCTTTTAATTAATTTCAATTTATTCAAATTCAATTCAAAACTCAAATTGTGAAATAGTGTTACTAAACCTTTAAGCACTAAGCTGTTGTGTGTCCAGCAGCCAATTAAAAACTCTTAAGATGTTAGAACTAGTGTTCTTGTCGGCTCTCGTTCTAATTATCAGTAGGTCACAATGTCTTTAGGTCCGTTCCAGTAAAGCCCTCGTTGGTGAATTCACGGCTCTCGTATCTTTCTCATTCTGTCTACATGATAGACAAGATGCTTTTTGTGCAATTAACAACAAATAATTAAAGATTAAGAAACAAATAAACGCAAATAAAGTTATTTGCAAATTATTTGTAAAACTAATTGTACAGAAAAAAAAACTAAAGAAGATAATTGTACCAATGCAGGCGCGTAGCAAGGGGGGGGGGGGGGGATTTGTGGGGACAATTCCCCCAACGTAAACAGAAATTTCTTTATTTCGCTAGGTTTTATTAAAAAAACACTCCCCCCACCCCCCTTAAAGTTTTCTATGCCAAAAAATTTTTTGTCCCCCCCCTCTTCAAATTCCTGGGGCGTACCCTGTACTAATGAGAACAATCATATTTTTGTCAGATAAAATTTACAATTAGCTCAACTGTTTATATAATCAAAAATTTCTATAATAATTTTGATTTTATTCATGGGCGATTCTCCAGAAGAATTGAATTTTTCAAAAGTGAATTGTAATTCTTCTTTTACTTGACATTTCAAATTTGAGAAAACCGTTAAAAAATATCTATTTCAAACGATTTTTCAGGTTCTATGGTCAATTGTAGGTTGAAAATTTAATTTATATGCATTTTAATGATTATTATAAGATATAGTTTAGATCATTAACATTTTTGTGCCAAATAAACTACTGAAAGTTTTAAGATCTAACGGTTTTTATCAAATTTTAAATTTTTCGTTGAGCAGATTTTCCCCTATAAAGCGTTTGCGTTGCTCGGCAACATTAAATTTTGTTCGAAGAATCTATTTTTCTCTTAATTAAAGCATTAAATCAAAGATGTGTTATTTAAATATGATAAAACTAAAGACGATCTACCATTTAGTATGTATTAAGTGTAATAAAAATATTTCTTTGATAGTAATTTTTTGATTCTTCGTAATTGAATTCGATTTTTGGTTGCCGAGCAACGCTTAAAAAAATTGAAAAAACTAATGATTTAAGCTTAATTATGATTTCTGAATGACTTTAAGATATAGAATTAGGAAAAATACATCTGTTTTAATTGAGAACAAACATGCTTTAGTGGGAAAATTTAAAGAATAATCAATTTGAAAGTGATTTTTGGCTGATTTCCCCGCTGGAGAATCGCCCTCATATAACTGTTCTTTCCCGCCATCAATAAAACATCTTCATTCAATGGTCGTGTATAAATTCTCATTGTTATAGCTTCATGAATATATTTCTATCTTTTTGCTTCTGTTTAAAGAAAGAAAAGGGAAAAAATATTTAATAATATACAAAAAAGAATAAAAGGGAGGAAAAGTGAAAGACAGGCAAGAGAAAACTTTCTTCATTTCATTTTCCTTCGAGATGAGTTTTTTGCTTAACACACTGATAAAAGTTTCCGTTTTGCTTCCTCTTGTTTGTTTTCACTTTTATATTATATATCGAATTGTTTTTTTTTCTTATTCGAATGCTTCAATGATTCTTCAACACATTTCAATATGATTCAATTATTTTAGTTTTACCTCCTAAATTTGCTCTTACATTATGCTGCTATGGATATCAAATTTATATGTTAATTCAATTATTTTCCAACATTTTCCTTATGCTATATTTTACTGATTTTTTCATTTGTTGTCACTGGTATCCATATGTCATATATCATATGATTAATTCAGCTGTTCATGAGTAAAATTATTTTATTGTTTCAATTTCTTTAAATTATGTTTAAAGAGAAAATTAAAAATTTTAAAATCATTATTTATTTTTACAAAAAAGATTATATTTACTGTCGATTTTTCTAGAATTTTCCATAGGGGGGTACAGGGGGTTCAGTACCACGTTGGATGCATCTCAGCCTGTAGCAACTTTTGTCAATACATCACTTTTAGGTGCACATCTGTTTTCAGGTCTAAAACACTTGTTCTAGGTTGAGTGAAAAAACAGAATTGAAGTTTTTCAAAAAACTCGATTTTTCTAGAATTTTCCATAGGGGGGTACAGGGGGTTCAGTATCACGTTGGATGCATCTCAGCCTGTAGCAACTTTTGTCAATACATCACTTTTAGGTTCACATCTGTTTTCAGGTCTAAAACACTTGTTCTAGGTTGAGTGAAAAAACAGAATTGAAGTTTTTCAAAAAACGTTTTTTCCTACGTGCCAAAGGTCCTGGGTTCAATCCCAGGCCATGTCTAATTTTCGAAGCTCTTTTTCCATTTCACCGTTCTAGTTACGAAGCTCGGTTCATGTGTTGGGTGTAGTATTGATGTCTTTGGCATAGAATATGCCTCCTTTGCTAGGTATACAAGGATATACTAGCATCTGGATGACTTTCTTACGGCATCTTGCGCACACGGATTGTGACTAGGTACATTGCAGGGTACATCAGGTCTTATGACGTACTCGTGTCTTTGCAATGTACAGAGCTTGCAAGTGGTTCGGATCCCACTATAAACTGTAGGTCTAAAGGGTGTGGTACAATAGATTCTGTTCTAATTTGAATCGCAGTGCCTCCAGCTGAAAGGCTGGGCCCTTCACACATTATATATACTGTTGCCGATGAGAGCAGATTTCCATCCATTAACCTTTTTCTTTCTTGTTATATTTTTCTTTCCGTTATTCATAGCACAAGTGTCATACATGCTTGCAAAAAAAGAACTTGAAAACACATTGAAAGATATTGTTGAGATAAATAATCTTGAGTCAATCACCGTATACAAACACAACTTTTTCTGACATTCCACTAAATATATTTTTCATTCACTAAGAATTCTGTATATGTTGAATACATAAACAATATCAACAGGTCGTACCTTTCAACTCAATTGTCTCTTAACACAATTTAACAATTAGGATATGCTATTCACTTTTGTGCATTGTCAATATAGGATAGATTTATGAAACATAGCGTAATGATGGTTTTAAAAGAGAATGGCTAGAATAAATGTTCCAAAACTTGACTCTTATTTGATGCTTAATTTTCTCATTTTAAAAATAATATTTCAGTAATTAAATAAATTTCTATCTTCGTTTTACATTATTGACAATATATTAATTTAAAGATAAATTTATCAAGATTAAGCTTTTATAATCAAATTATTAAATTTAAAAAAATATGCATAATAAAGCAAAACCATATGTTGTTCATATGAGTTTATGAGTATCATTCATTGAATTTATTAAGGATAAAAACATTAATAGATTGTTTCAGGGTTTTCCAAAAAAATTTAAATTATAAAACAAACAAAATTTTTTAAAAAATGTTTAAAAATACTTACTGAATAAAATTGAACAAAACTTCATTAAAATCGAAAAACCATCTGTACAAAAATGAAGAAACCCTGTTCATTACATTATAAAATCTCAAATAGGTTTTTTTGCTGAAAACTGTTTTGCTGCTTATTATAACAACAAATGCTTAAGTCAGCATTTTGTATTAAGAGAATTTCCACGTATATGAATACCCATAAATACAAACATAATATTAAAATCTTTAAGAACAAAAATCCTTTTTACTTATTTATTTATGTGAATTTACAGAAATGGATATGAAAGCTTGATATGGGAATCTCAGTGAATATCTTCTGAATTTCAACCATCAATTGTTACGAGAAATATTATGTATGCATATAAAGTTTTGAAAAATGTGAAGTATATAGAAAAAAAACTTCTCCATTTTTAAGGTAGTTGCAATGGTATGGCTACATAGGAAAAGTGATTGCTTTGAAATCGTTTCCCTTCTTGAATAATAAAAATAAAAACGTTTGTGTTTGAAAGTTTGCATCTTTTGCAAATAAAAACAGGTTTAGATTGTGAAGGCATTATGCTTTCTGTAAGCAAGCAAACAAGTTAATCTGCAAAAAATTTCAATAACGAGACGTCGTATCACCCTAGTAACCAAAATGTTCCATATAATCTTCCTTCGACGTCGATGGAAGATCAAATGTATCATTATTTATTATATGGAAAATATTTGTTTTACAAATATGTAACAGAAGTGTTCCATCGAAGTATTACCCGAGCCTGCTTAGGATCAAATCCTATGAAATATCATCAAAAAAATGTTTTTTTGCAGGAAAATAATATTTGTTCTAAATTTGGCATTTGCCATATACTTCACAATTGCTCGAAGAAATCACTATTATAACCCTAGTAACCAAAATGTTCCATATAATCTTCCTTCGACGTCGATGGAAGATCAAATGTATCATTATTTATTATATGGAAAATATTTGTTTTACAAATATGTAACAGAAGTGTTCCATCGAAGTATTACCCGAGCCTGCTTAGGATCAAATCCTATGAAATATCATCAAAAAAATGTTTTTTTGCAGGAAAATAATATTTGTTCTAAATTTGGCATTTGCCATATACTTCACAATTGCTCGAAGAAATCACTATTATAAGTTCTCTCTAAATTTGTATGGGGCTTTCAATTGATTATTTATCTTCCTCAGGTTTGTGTGCGAGTCTTGGGCGTTCATCAGTATGCGACTTAATTAAATTAAGTCCTTTTTGTTCTTTTTCGTAGTGTTAGTGTACTTTAATTAAGTACACACTAATACTTTTACAATAATTTACACAAATAAATGAAAAATACGAAATAACACGTGGAATTTACCACGTGTTTTATCCAAAAAAATTAATCCATTTGTTTTCCATTTGTATTCCTTTGATGTATTACATTGATGTCTTATTGCATTGTCCATTTATCTTCCATTTTCATAGGACATCATCTTCCGATGGATAATACATGGATAATACATATGTATCATCCATGGAAGATTCTCATGGAATACATTAATCTACCTTTTGGTTACTAGGGAAGTTCTCTCTAAATTTGTATGGGGCTTTCAATTGATTATTTATCTTCCTCAGGTTTGTGTGCGAGTCTTGGGCGTTCATCAGTATGCGACTTAATTAAATTAAGTCCTTTTTGTTCTTTTTCGTAGTGTTAGTGTACTTTAATTAAGTACACACTAATACTTTTACAATAATTTACACAAATAAATGAAAAATACGAAATAACACGTGGAATTTACCACGTGTTTTATCCAAAAAAATTAATCCATTTGTTTTCCATTTGTATTCCTTTGATGTATTACATTGATGTCTTATTGCATTGTCCATTTATCTTCCATTTTCATAGGACATCATCTTCCGATGGATAATACATGGATAATACATATGTATCATCCATGGAAGATTCTCATGGAATACATTAATCTACCTTTTGGTTACTAGGGCATACTTCTAGTTTTCTTACATTCCATCAGTGCAGTCTTATAGAAGAGCTGTATTGTTTTTGGGCAAGATAGAAACAGCCGTTGCTACCTTCCTTTTATGAGATTACTTAAAACCCAAAGTTTGATTTTTTTAAAATTATTTTCAAACATATCCTGAGCCAATCTTAGTCTATTGAAGAAATTTTCGAAACTTTGGTGTGAATATATTCGCATTGAATTTCAACCCGATGCACTAGTTTTCAAAATTTTTGAACTGCAATTTTTTTTTATTTTGTTTAACACTAAACTTTACAAAATATTAAATTTATGCACTCATGAAAGTAATTGTAAATTTAAGTTATTAAATTACTTGTAAAATTAAATTGTGAGCTATTAGAACAATGTTAAATAAACAGTTATTATCCAAGCAAACGTTTGTAAATGTAAAGAAACAGGCTTCACCACTGCGCACCAAATAGCATTTTTCTCTTTAAGCTTTGAGTTTAAGTGGGTTTAAATTAAATTTTTTGGTCATATTTTATTACATAATTTTTCATGCTATGTGTGGCAAGCAGAACCAAACGCTTCCTTGGTATAAAATTGTATCTCCTATCCTTCTTTTTGTGCAAATTTTAATATTTATTTTCTAGTTTTTGTAACCATATTATTTTTTTTATTATTTTTCATATTTATTAAGTAGGTTTAATAATTAATATCTTCAATGCTATAAATTAAACACACAACACTAAACTCTCTCAAGTAAAAGAGACAAAAGGGAATTAATATAAGAAATTTTTTTATGTATAGAGTGCTATATAAACAAACTCAACCTCATCATGTTTCCCTTTACACATCGCAACGCTCGATTTTTTTTATAATAATATTTCTCGCAAATAAATTTAAAAAATAAAAAGTACTAGTATTAAAAGTTATAATTAGCAATTTTACTTTTTTTAATTGAAATTCACCTACAAAGTAATTGAATAAAAATTTAATTAAAACATGATATGTTTAACCAGTTGACAGTTTAATTACTATTATTGTTACTATTCTCTTTCTTTTTTAAATTTTCGTAATTAATATAATACAGAAACACCATTATGGCTCCTTCTTCAAGTGGCACCCATTCGCAATGAGCGCGATTTGGTTGTACTCTTCTTACTTACATTTCGTGATATCACCGCTCTTAAGCAGCCAATTGATTCTGAAGATAGCAAGGGTGGTATGTAAAATAATTAATTGCATACAGGGAAGTTCACTTATTACGTAATGCTTTTAAAGGGTATGCGATTTTGTGACAGTTGACAAGGGAGCCAGGGAGAGGATCAAACAAAATCGTTTTTTTTTTGCGTTTCTCAATAAGTGAATAGCCCTATCTGAAATAATGTTTTAAAATAAAAAAAAAGTTTAAACGTTAACAAATCAAATTTTATTCTTGTCACGTCTTTCTGTAATTTAGGTTTATCAAAATTTGCAAAATTGGCGCGATCGGTGACACGTAGTCGTCAATTTAGTTCACATCTTCCTACATTAAAAGATACAACGAAGCAATCAAATCTTGCTCATGTAAGTTTTCAAATCATTGGATCATCGTCTTCTATGAAATGTTCGATATTCTCAAATATGCAATACATGCTTTTCCTCTGATATTGATATGTAATATAAATTGATTATGCCATTATAGATGATGTCACTTAGTGCTGATGTTATGCCGCAATATAGACAAGAAGCTCCAAAGACGCCTCCACATATTCTTTTACATTATTGTGCTTTTAAAGCTACATGGGATTGGGTGATATTAGGCTTAACATTTTATACAGCAATTATGGTACCATACAACGTAGCCTTCAAAAACAAAACGTCAGAAGATGTATTTTTACTTGTAGTGGACTCAATTGTAGATGTTATATTTTTTATAGATATCGGTAAGTTCTCAAGAGAAATGGAATAAATAATTATTTCTATAGTTACTGATTAATATACACATCCCAAAAAATGAAGTAACAAGCAATTGAACAAGCAAAAAAACCCACATGTCCTTATGCATATCAGCCGACAAAAATAGTAAAAACAACAATAATCTTGATATAAGAGAAGGATCCCCCATATCGACATGTCTCAAAAAGATACTTGTCAAAACATTTTCTTATCCACAAAAGTGTCAAATTGCCATTGTCGTAAAAGGAGTGAAAATAAAACCTTTTTTTTGTCGACAGTGCCTTCATATTAACAATATGAATTTTCTTTTTTTCGCTAGTATTAAATTTTCACACAACATTCGTTGGACCCGGAGGCGAGGTTGTTAGTGATCCAAAGGTCATTCGCATGAACTACTTACAATCATGGTTCGTTATTGATTTGCTGAGCTGTCTGCCTTATGACGTCTTCAACGCATTTGATCACGACGAAGAAGTAAGTTTTCGTGTTTAAAGTATTCATTCACAAAACTTGTTTTGAAATAAAAAAAAAATATTTTCATTTATTGATGTTCTAACCATTTTCTTAAATTAATTTTATATTATAGGGCATTGGTTCGCTTTTTAGTGCCCTCAAAGTTGTTCGTTTATTAAGATTGGGACGAGTTGTAAGGAAACTAGATCGCTATTTAGAATATGGAGCAGCAATGTTAATACTTTTACTGTGTTTCTACATGCTTGTGGTAATATCATTATTCTAGAAATCTTTTGTTTTCCTTCTTTTGTCTGCGTATATTTTCACTGCATATCTTTAATTCTTAGTTTTAAGTACAAACCCATAATAGAAAAAATTTTCTCTTTAATTTTTCAACCTTCACTTTAGGCTCATTGGTTGGCATGTATATGGTATTATATCGGACGCACAGATGCTGACAATGGAGTAAGTCATTTAATGATTGCTTCTTTAATGTGCATAGATATTTCTAGAATTGATAATATTTGCCTTTAAAAAATATTAGAACTATGAAAAAGTTGAAGATATTTGAACCGTGAGCAAGAAAAATACAGAAAATTAATTTCTATTCTATTTTACAGGTACAATACAGTTGGTTATGGAAGTTGGCAAATGTAACGCAAAGTCCTTATTCATATGTATGGTCTAATGATACACGTCTACCAGAACTTGTTAATGGCCCACCAAGACGTACTATGTACGTTACTGCTCTTTATTTTACAATGACGTGTATGACTTCGGTAGGTTGTATATTTCAATTACTTTTTATTTCTATGCGAACAAATTCACTGCATTTTTGTGAAAAAAAAATCTATTTTTCATAAATTCTTCTTTCAGGTTGGATTTGGAAATGTTGCAGCCGAGACGGATAATGAGAAGGTTTTCACGATATTAATGATGGTTGTCGCTGGTGAATATCTTTTTTCGGAAATTTCGCCATTTTAAGTGTGCTGAAAAATAATGACTTTACCGCTAATGTTTAATAGTAGCATTTGTGATCGTGTAGAAAAAATGTGAACTTCATTATGCTATCATTGTGCTGCTATTATATTAAGGTTAAAGTCACATACATAGTAAAATGACGAAAAAAAATCCGAATAGTGCAAAATGTTCTCTTATCATGTCTCCAAAATAATAAGTATTATTCAACTAGTATTGGGGTTTTCGAAAAGGACATGTTTTTGACATCTTGTTGTAAAAACAGTTATTTGAGTGTACTTTGGCTCTGTTGCTCTTTTTTTTTTCATCACTAGCTTTTCATATAATTTTCACTGTGTTCAATTTTTATTTTAATCATGACAGATTTTGAATTATTTAATTCCAAAATTTGTAATAAAGCTAAATCACTCAGTAATTAGTCGTCGTTTTCAAACCTGTATATACAATTGAATGTACTTGATTGGTTTTCATCTGAACTTGGTAAATATTGCTTTGTGGTTCAATTATTCATGATGTGAAGTTGTTATAAGCAATAATCAATAGTTATATACAAAATTGTAAGTGAGCTGTGACTAAAATCATATTTAGATTCGATTCATAATTTTATTATTATTTCTATCTGACTACGTTTTTATTTTCATAAAATTATTAGAAATAAAACTTCCAGACCAACTGGCAACAATTTTAACTCAAAAATTTCATTTTTCTCGAGGCCAATTAACTCTATAAGCATATCTTTTGAAATCTTTCTTTTCTTTTCAAAGAAAGGAAGATGAAATTAAATAAAATAAAACAAATTATTCGAATAGATTATGCAAGATTATATTTAATTTGACCTTCAAATAATTAACGCTAGTAATTGATTCTGTTAAAAAAAATCTATGTGCTGTTAAGCGAAAGAAAAAACCAGCTGGCGTTTTAAATTATTTTTGAATGCAAAATATTATTAGCATTTTTTAAATGGAAAAACCATTTAGGTTCTTTGTTCATCTTTCGTTTTGAATTAATTTGTCACTTTGTTCACTACTATCGCTCATGATGTAAATTGATCAATTCTTCTCAATAACTTTTTTAATTTTCTATAAAAACTTTTAAATATGTAAATGTTCTTGTTATTCTTAAAACAACAAAGCTCTTCTGTACGCCACAATATTCGGTCACGTTACAACAATTATTCAGCAAATGACCTCTGCCACTGCTAAATATCACGATATGCTGAATAATGTAAGAGAATTTATGAAATTGCATGAGGTGCCGAAAGCTCTTAGTGAACGTGTTATGGATTATGTTGTTTCAACATGGGCAATGTCGAAAGGAATAGACACAGATAAAGTAAGAAACAATTTTACTTTTTCAAACTAATGATAAGTTTTAAACTTTTAAGCCATGTAATAAATTAATTTAAAAAAAAAACTTTTTATTTATTATTATTTTTTTCAACATATTTACATCTCTCATAAGGTATTAAACTACTGCCCTAAAGACATGAAAGCAGACATTTGTGTGCACTTAAATCGTAAAGTATTCAACGAGCATCCTGCCTTCCGTTTAGCATCTGATGGTTGCTTAAGAGCATTAGCAATGCATTTTCAAATGTCTCATTCAGCACCAGGCGATTTATTGTATCATACTGGTGAAAGTATAGATTCTCTATGTTTTATAGTAACCGGTAGCTTAGAAGTAATTCAGGATGACGAAGTTGTGGCAATTTTGGGAAAAGGAGATGTATTTGGTGATTCTTTTTGGAAGGATTCTGCTGTCGGACAAAGTGCTGCAAATGTTCGTGCGCTTACTTATTGTGATTTACATTCAATCAAACGAGACAAATTATTAGAAGTTTTAGATTTTTATCAAGCCTTTGCGAATAGTTTCGCGAGAAATTTGTTGCTTACATACAATTTAAGACATCGTCTTATATTTAGGTAAAAATTTGTCTTGATCATACATAGTGTTGATTGAAATAAATATATATTTTTTTAAATCATTGTGTACCATAGGAAAGTTGCTGATGTTAAGCGAGAAAAGGAACTTGCGGAGAGACGGAAAAATGAGCCACAATTGGGTTCAACCCAGGATCATTTGGTAAGAAAAATTTTTTCAAAATTTCGTCGAGCACAACAATCAGCACAGTTAAGTAAAGAAGGTTCACAAAACAGTGATGTCGAAAAGGGTGATACCGATCAGGAATCGAAAAAGGTTTGAAAAGTTTATCAATAAAAACTGTTGAAAGATAATAATAAAAAAAAAATAATATTTTAGCTTCCTGCTAAGCTTACATTGACTGAAGACTCTCGAGTTGTAACAACAGTTCCAACGTCTACACCATCGCCATCAGGACAACCTACAACGGGGCCAAAATTACGACCTGGTAGTAAATGGGGTCGTTTACTGGGAAGCTCAAGTGTTGATTCTGCCAGTGATGGAAGTGCAAAAACGTCTGTATCAAGGAGTTTAAGTGCCCGAGAAAGTTTACGAGAAACATCCCAGGCAAGAGCAGCGAACACTCCTAATAACAATGGTGGTCAAGGAAATAAAGTGAGTATCAAATACTAATAGTTTTCTCAGCCTTATCCAGCATTTTATGGTATTTTAAAGGTATTTCCAAAATCAGCTAAACTCTCACCGGGACCAGTATCTTTAACAAGACAAGACACAATTGAGGAAAGTGGTGAAGCAGAATCAAATAGTCGTGAATCATCTCATCGTCCATCGATTCAAATAGATGGTCAAGAAAAAGAATCAGTGACAACTTCTCCTGCAACGGTAGCAGCATTAGCAACAAGAGGACGTGACCGAGATCGTGAGAAGAAAGAGAAGGAAGAACGAAACTTGTCGCTAGAGCGTGAAAGGCAAATTGAAATGGCTAAAGCCCGCGAGACAACTTCTGATAGTTATGATACGGGGTTACGAGAGCAACCTTCAACACTGGCACAAAGAGACCTAATATCCACTGTGCTTGATATGAAAGTTGATGTAAGGCTTGAAATGCAAAGAATGTCACAACGAATAGGGCGAATTGAAGATTTATTAACTGACTTATTGAATAGATTAGTTGTTGACTCATCAGAACAAAGTTCACCAGGCGATATTTCAGTGAATCCTGTTGATCAAGTGACCTCACCCACTGGAACATCAATTCAAGTACCTACAACATCATCAAGTAGTTTTCCAGGAGGAAATGGACTAGGACCAATTTTGCTTAGAAAACGTCGAGCAAAAAATAGAAAAGCTCCCGCACCACCCCCAACAAAACAGTTTCCGGTAGAATCTGAACAATCTCTCCTCATAGAATCTGATATGCCATCGACTTCAACAAGAAAGCGTGAGTTCCTCTAGCCCAAAATTCTTCTTCGGCATAGACATAGTAGTGAAAATACAAGCTCCGATCTTGGATGATGGAGTCCTGAATCAACTCTGCTTTAAATAATATTTAAAAAATAGCTATAATGATAATGATTAAATTTATGACGTCCATTTAAGTTTTTACATAAATACACAATGAAAAATATTATGTTCTATATACACAGACAAACAAACATACAAACATTTATATACAAAACAATACAAATATAATTACACATGAGCAATCTTTTTACTTTTCTTCCATTATATTTACCAAGACTTTAAGAAGTGAAGAAGGAAGCGGATTATTTAAAAAATTAATAATTATTCGTAAAGAAAAATGTTAAAATGTGTGAATTATTAATACAATTGTGCACACAATCGTCATAAAATGAAGCATTTTTTTTGGCAGGCTTACATTTCGAATAAAAGTCATTAGTATTTTGTTGAAACCCCTTAAAAATTGTTAAGTATATAAAATATTCATAAATAATGCAATTTAATTTGCATCGAATATCACAGGTAACGCGTTATTGCACGTTAGTGAAAGTCAAAATCTTCATCAGTTGCTCGAAATGAATGTTGTCTTTAACTTGTTTCAATTTTACAAACACTCAATTAAAATAAATTAAAGTTAATTATAATTGGAAAAAAAAAGAAATCTTTTCATAAAATTGAAAATATTTCTTAAATTATGTAGGTGGTTTATTATAAATTTTAACGAAACAATTTATTTGCAGTTTGCATTCATCACGACCAATTTGTAGACAAATTATTAAATATAGTTGCTAAGATGTCAGAACCATTTTTTAAAATAAAATACTTCAAATTGAAGTTTTACTTCAACCTTTGTTTTTTTTAAGAGAGTAAAAGAAAACAATTTTTTTATTATTTTTTAGCTTCATAAAAATAAAAGTGTGACATTTATCCAAATAATCCATAACTACCAATGTTGTCTATCACTTTTATAATTTCCAAGTGGATTCTTGACGCTAATGTCTAGGAACTAATTAGTCATCTAGTTATTTATTAAACATTAGTGTCTAGTGTCTACTCGGGATTAGGTTCATTGAAATATAAAAAAGACTATAGCAAAATTGCAGTTGTAAAAAAAAATTGTATTAAGAAGCTTTTTAAATTTTACAAAACGAGAAAAATCTACAACAGTGTCGCCTCTCTTTATAAATACAAAAAAAATGCAATTAAAAATTGAGTTTTCATATCTACATGCAATAAAATGCAATAAACTTTAAATGTAAATACCACTGCTAACACATCATTTTTAACACAAAAGTTTAAAAAAAGTCATTAATATAATTCTAATCTTTTGATTTTTATTAAAGAAGAAATATGTATAATAGAAGGATGAAAAACTCATGACAAGTATATTAAGAGTGATATTGAAAATTAGCTGAAATGAAAACAAAAAGTAAAAAAACTAAGAAATTGGAATTTACAATTGCAGACATTTGTGATAACATGATATTTATAACAATGTGAGAATATAAAGAAGAAAATACATTTTATTCTATCCAAAAAAATAGTTATGGAAATGATAGCATTAAAAAATAAAATATTGCGCCTTTTTAAAATGAATGAAATTAGTACTAATTAAGAAATTAAGACATTCTTAATCGTTATTGTCAATAGAGACACAGAGGATAATTTCTCACTTTATGCACGTCCTGTTTTATTAAATAATATCAGATTTTTAAATTCCATTTTTTTCTCTTAACCATATTAAATTTTTTCATTGCTCAGTCCAATTTGATGAACTATTTTTTTCAAACTTTAACTTTCCAAAAAATCATAAATAAACTCTTAAACAATTTGATTGGTGACAAATTATTAAAAGTTTTTATGACACGAATTAAAGCATTAAACGTATGTATTGGGTTACCATTCTCATCTATGTAATAAAATTATTTTTTGAGCGTATTATAAAATTCATTATCCTTCAGTTACGTTATTTGTGAAGGACTCATTTGAAATCCATTCCAAAGAAAATCCTTTCAAACTAGATTTTTTCCAAGAAATTATGCTTCTCCTTTCCAAATACATATATAGCAAATTTGATGCTATTTACACATGCAGTGACGAAACCTTGGTAAAATATGAAGAAATTTGCCTGAAATGTCTCAATTTTGAAGGCATTTAACCAGTTTACTACAGATCCTCATTATATCATTGTCAGGACTTTGAATTACTACGCTTTTTGAACAATGCTTAATATCCAAAAAACCAATGTATTGAGAACTGACAATCGTATTAAGTAGAAAAGCATGTAAGGAAAATTTTAGGTTTGTTAGAATTTAAACCAATTGAAATATAACCATCGAAACCGTTTGCATTTATTAATTTCACAATTTAAGCTCCAAAGAAATTGTTAAAAAAATTTTGAAATCATTTCATAATAATTCATTTATTTTTAATTTGATATAAGAACCAAATTTATTCCTTGATTTTCTTTTAATGATTTCTAATAGATTGACAAAATTTTAAAAACTGAATTACTGTAGATTATTATGTAAAAATGAAATTTTTTCCATTTATCGAAAGTTTATCGCATGTAAAAAAAATCTTTTTTGTAGAATTTTGAAACAGAGTAATTGAGTTTTAAGCAAGTTTTAATTAAAGATTAATGAAGTAACTTAATGATCGTGCACTGGTTTTTATTCAGACAACAATTAATTTTTTGAATGAAAATCAAAGTATTAGCCATGCATTTTTAATATTTGACATATCCATCTCAAAGGTTTACATAATTCATTGCACTGCGATTTAAAGCTTATATTATGTTAAGCTTAATAAATTTAATATTGATTATACTCTTTCGAATAGGATACAAGGGGAAATCCACCACGATGGAAAATCTCCATCAATTTTTCATCAAATGATGAAAATTGATGGACAAATATTCCATCACGTGGTTTTTCCCTGACAGGATTAGACAACATGTTAAAGATATCTTTAATATGTCGTCGTTATCTTTATCCTTTCTATTGTATGAAACTCTATATTAAAATGGTGCATTTTTTTTAAAACCAAAATTTAACAAAACTAATTTCACATTTTAAATTAAAAATATTATAATTTTAAATATTAAATCGAAAGTATTAAATGATAAACGAAATTAAAAGTATTCGAGAATAAAAATGATTACTTAATCTTTAAAATATATTTTTTTCTACATTTTATCCCCCCGAATTAAATTTCCCGAACATACAAAGAGCATGCTCAGAAAAGTGAGCATATAAGTGAGTCTACTTAAAAATTATACTCATGCAAGCTCATTCAACTGAGCATGCTCAGGAGTTCATTACGAATGTACTCACTTTATTTTTTTACAAAAACTTTATAAGCTCACGTGAGTGCATTCAATAAGTATATTCTTGAGAATATTAAGAACATACTCATGTGAATTCACTCATATGAGTTCACTTACTGAATATACTCATGAGAATATTAAGAACATACTCACTTCTGTGTGACATAATTTTTTTATATTCTCATATGAGTGCACTTACTGAATGTACTCATGAGCTTATAATGAGCAAACTCACTTCTGTGTCACACAATTTTTTTTATATTCTCATATGAGTGCACTTACTGAATGTACTCATGAGCATTTAATGAGCAAACTCACTTCTGTGTGACATAATTTTTTTATATTCTCATATGAGTGCACTTACTGAATGTACTCATGAGCATATAATGAGCAAACTCACTTCTGTGTCACACAATTTTTTTTATATTCTCATATGAGTGCACTTACTGAATGTACTCATGAGCTTATAATGAGCAAACTCACTTCTGTGTCACACAATTTTTTTTATATTCTCATATGAGTGCACTTACTGAATGTACTCATGAGCATTTAATGAGCAAACTCACTTCTGTGTGACATAATTTTTTTATATTCTCATATGAGTGCACTTACTGAATGTACTCATGAGCATATAATGAGCAAACTCACTTCTGTGTCACACAATTTTTTTTATATTCTCATATGAGTGCACTTACTGAGTTTATTCAAGAGCAAATTGTGTACCTTTTTTGAAAAAATGTCAGCTAAATCGAAAACGTTAAAATAATGATTTTTTAAGGAAGCTGACGTTTTTTAAAAATGTCAGCAAAATCGAAAACGTTAAAATAATGATTTTTAAGGAAGCTGACGTTTTTTAAAAATGTCAGCAAAATCGAAAACGTTAAAATAATGATTTTTTAAAATTGGTGCTCAATAAGATCCAAACTTCAAAGAACTTAGTTCGCCTGTAAAAATATAATAATTTAACTATGTGTTATGCCATATATAAATTATTATATATTTACAGACAATAGCTCCAAGGAAAAGTGTGAGATGACAGAAGTTAAGCAACGCAGAAGATATTTCAACAAGGATGGGTGACCAGATTTATATGTTTCATTCTTAGTATTTCAGATAAAATATTAATAATAATTTCTAACTCCTTCAAAATTATTCACAGAAATAAACGAAACAGTACTTAATTTCAGCTAACCTATAATACTCAAATTTAGCTTAATTAATTTTTTGAATTTTGCAACTTCACTTGAGTGAACTCATGAGTGTGCTCAGATGAGCATATACTCATAAATATACTCACTAAGTATATATTCTTTGAGTACGTTTATGAGTATGTACTCTTTGAGAATATTTATAAGTATGTACTTTTTGAGAATGTTCATGAGTATATTCAATAAAAATGTTACATGTGACATGTTGCCTTCTCATTTGAGTATGCTCATGAGTTTACTCAATGAGCTTAATACATGTCACATAGGAATGTGCTCACTGAGCATGCTCAAGAAGGTACCGTAAGCGCATCACTGAAATGTATGAAAATGAGCACATTCTCACAAAGGCTAATAGGCTCACAAATAATGTGCTCTGAGCATGCTCATTGTATGTTCGGGTTTAAAAACTTAGATTGAATTTACTATTTCCCTTCCGATTTAAAATATGTTTTAAATTTACAAAATTTTAGTTTAGAACTTTTCAAATTCCTTAGATAAGTGGAATTTTTTAAGTTTAAATAATCTACCAGATGAAATGTAATTCTATTAATTCAATCCAAAAATGAAGAGAAGAAAACAAAATATATTGAATGATGATACATTAAAAATATGCCTTTGAGTTTTAATTTCTTAAGATATATTTTAAAATTTATATTTCAGATTCTGCTTTATCATATTTTTAAGATAAGTGACATGTGAAATTGAAACATCCGTTGAAGTATGTTGGTTGAATTTAAAGGCTAATTCGAATAAAAATTTTCTGCAACTTTGTAAAGAATGAGAAGAAAATAATCAATAAATTTACTACAATATTATTTTCTATTTAATTAAGCTGTATCATTTAATGTGATTGAACATGTTAGCCGTTTCGATATCAAAATATTTTAAAGGAAACTTAAGTAATTTAAAATTTTAAAATAAAATTAGATGTTGTTGATTTTAATTGAATTGCTTGAAATGCGATTTTATTTAAAGTTATTAAATTTAAGTTTGTAAAATCTTACGCATTACAAACTAGAAAAGTAAGTGTCAATTAAATGTAATCAAAGTAATTAAGTCATTCATGAAACCACAAATTCAAACTGTACCATTAGACGGTGTTCCATTATGTCCATCTTTACAGCATTCTTTTTGATGCAACTTTTCTTTAGAATGAGTCAAAACATGTTTCATTTCTAGCGACAATTCAGGAATGTAATGTCGAGGAATTAAGAATGTTGACAAATTAAATAAATCGATGAAAACTTTATATCGGTCGCTGAAAATAAATTTATTGTTAAAAAAAAGAGTGTAAAGGCATAAATTTTTCATTTCGAACCTTAAAGTTGAACGAAGATATTGATATCCTGAAGATCCACCAGTTCCTAATTGTTGCGAACCAATCATTCGTTGAACCATAATGACATGATTATCTGTCCGTAATTTTTCAAAAAACATTTAAACATTATTTATAAAAATAAGTCAATAATCTTACATCTCCATTTGGTAATTAAAGAATCGATGTCCATTAAAAGCATAAGAATTTGATGTGGTTGCGAAAAGCGTGGTTCATCACGATAGAAACTAATCATCATAGCCCCTTGAAGTGCTTTATACGTAAATCGTCTTTCTCCACGTGCTACTAATGCTTCATGTACTTTTGGATCAAATACGGTCTTATAAACATCTCTGCGCTTTTGAATATCCATTAAACGATAATTTTTGACAAATTCAGTTGGTTCAGAACTTGCTTGTTCTTCTTTTTCATTTAGCAATTTGTCAACTCTTTCTTTAAATTTTCCCCAAAAATCAAATCCGTCATGTTCTAAGCCTGGAGTTCTTTCAAGCCATTTTTGAACCAAATTACTCAAGGAGGGATCTTGTTCAGACTTTTGTAATGCTTCTATGGCCTCGCTATCAGTTCCAAAGACATGAGAGTAACTTTGATTGTATCGAACACGATGTTCGGTTTTCACTCCCAGTTTATTTTCCAACAATCGAAATTGCAAGCTTTGAAATCCACTTGCCGGAGATAAATAATCGCGAAAATCCATAAAGTCCAGAGGTGTCATCGTCTCCAAAATTGGAACTTGATCAACAAGAAGCTATAGAAAATGAAAACATCAGAAGTAAGAGGTTAAAAGTCACCCATGACTTTCATCAATTAGCATTATCAATTAGTCATCATAGTAAAAGAGACACATTTATTTATTTTTCTGCTGATAAGACATATGTAGCTATTCGATGACGTTAAGATTTTTAAAAAATTTCATGAATAATTTGATAATTTTTGAAGGTCAATTTTACTCAAAAATATAAGCACAGACATTTTCAAATTATCTCATGTGTAATATGACACAATTAAACTGTCAAGCAGATACATGAGTTTAACTTTCAATTTTTAGATGGCTTCTAACGATTAAGACCAAAAAATTTTCATTTTTTTTTTTTGTGGTCAGTTTGAATGTTTTGTATTTTGTAAAGCAATGTTGCTAATTTATTATATAGTTACAAGGAACAAGCATTGTAACCTGATCGTTTCTTAAAAAGCAGAATGAAATTTACAATGTCATCGATTTCCGAAGACCTTTAGTAAAATAAAGTATCGAATTTCGAGCAAACAATAATCTTTTTCTTTTGATAAAGAAAATTAAATTTCCTTAAAAATTATCACGTTAGAGTACATAAACGTATATAATATTAGGTATATCAATCAAATTATCAAAATAAAAACTCACGTTTAGAATGAGTGTGATCCGGTTTAATCGTTTCAAAATCTCCAGCGTATTAGATTCTTCGATGTTTTCCTGATTAAAAAGATCACGAATTGAATCAACTTCAAAAATGATTTGTTTGAACCAAAGCTCATATGCTGAAAAACAGTCATTTTATATAAACAGAAATAAATTTGTATTTATTGCGTTATACCTTGATGAGTCACAATAAACAGATGCTCATCATGAACTGGATGATCACTATTAGCCGATAACATTCTTTGTGATGACAGGACCTTATCTAGCATCAAATATTCACCGTAAAGCATTCCGACATCAGCACCAAGATGCTCGCCTTCTTGACCATCGGCATTTTGTCTATAAAATCATACGATGTCTTATCAGTTATCATTTAACATTCTCATCGAAATTAATTCTAATTCACAATAACAATCTTATCACAATTTAACTGTCTATACGGAAAATAAATTATTTCAAAGAACGAAGATACCTAATAAGTGAGGATCTCTATTAAAAGGAAAAAGTCATTCCTTTTCATTTAAAATTTTAAATGTATCGAAATAATATTACTATTATTTTTTTAGATTACATACCCATTAGAATTACCGACTGGGCAGCTCATTTTAATAATTTTTTATGGAACTTGTTTCAGTTAATTCTTTATCTCACCAAATTTCAACTCGAACTAAACAAAAATGAATCAATGAAGCCTTTTAACAAAAAAAAAAAATAAAATAAATAAATAGAGTAAAGGCATTGAGAAAACTGAGAGAATTACAATTTTACTCTTCAACTTCAGAGAATTTATTGTTCACGTTATTTTTGAATTCATATTTTATAAAGTATCAGAGCCACCAACTCCAAGTATAATTAAAATTTATTGGATCGCATTTGCTATCAGGAGGTTTTCTATGTGATGGAATTAAATGTTGCAATTCGGTGATGAAAATTTCTTGCATAATTTTCATAAATACATTTTCTGGTGTTGCCAGATTTCTTTCCTCACAAGGGTCATGAATAATATCATACAAGCATGGTCCGTTTAACAAGTTACAATTATTATGGATTCCTGAACACTGAACGGTTGCACGTTTTCTGATTTCTCTAATATTATCAGGCTGCAATGGATGCTTAAAAATTTCAAGATATTTTGAAACTTTAGATCTTAAAATTTCACTTATGTATTGTGATGAGTTAATGTCACTATTATTATTCGATCCTAGCCATCCATCGTCGAAACCTTCTGAAGAAGATCCATTTACTAGTTTAAAGCCATTGAATATGAATGAGCTATATCCAAATATATCATCGATTGTAATAATTTCATTTCGAAATGGTGCCTTATTGTAAAGAATCATATTCGAAAGATCTAGTCCATCGATTTTTTTATTAATCTGAATGTTTGTATTAGCTAAGTTTAAAAGAGTAGGGAGAAGATCTCCAATGTAGAAAAACTTCCTTCTTATTATGCCAGACGGTAAAAATGGTGCATAAATAATTGCACCTGTTCTTATAGCACCATCCCATCCTGAACCTTTTTGACCACGAAATGGATAATTAGAAGCTTTTGTGCTGTGTAAATTAACGGATGGACCTCCATTATCTGAGAAGAATACAACAATTGTATCATTCAATAAATTTGAATTATATAGAGCCTCAATTATGTCTCCAACGCTTTCGTCTAATGAATGCATCATTGCTGTGAAAAAAAAACATCGAAAAACATGTTTATCTGAAAAACAATTTATTTTATATTCAAACCTGCCAAAATTCGACGTTCTTCATTCTCAATGTAAGAAAATTTTTCAATAATTTCTTCTTTTGCTTGCATAGGTTTGTCATCATTTGCAGTGTGTGGAGCGAGATGACTTAAAAGCAAAAACAATGGTTTTTCATTATCATGATTTTCAATTACTCTTATGGCTTCTTTTGTCAGTACATCTGTAGCATACACATTTTTGTATGTTCTATCGATTTCAGAATTTCTTCGCATGTCATAACCACGAGAATAATTTCTTGAAAACATTTTTAATGTATAGTCCCAATAGTCAACATAAGGTCCAAGATAACCGTAAAAGGTATCGAAACTGTATTTGGTTATATATATTAATAGCTTTCATTATGTAAGTCAATTTAAATGCAATTTACCCTCGATTTACAGGACTATATTCTTCTTTATAAAATCCCAAATGCCATTTTCCTATCAAATGTGTTTCATAGCCAGCATCTTGAAAGTACTCGGGCATTAATTTTTCATCAAGTGGCAATCCCCAAGGCTCATCACTGACGATTACATAGTTTTGCATGCCATTGTGATGAGGATATTTTCCAGTAAGTAAAGCGCTTCTGCTTGGCGTACACATTGGTGAGGTATAAAACCTAGAATAAGATATTGTACAAACCACTTGAATATTATTATTATTATTATTATTATTATTTTTATTATGGTCCATCAGCATATAGCTATTTAAAGACCAGCACCATTCCAAAAATACAATTATCGAAACTAGTGTATCAGGTAAAAACCCAATGCGGATATATTCACACCGTACCATCAAAAGTCTAATTGACAGACCAAGATTTGCTCAGCATAAGTTTGAAGGGTGGGCTTGAAATAAGGCCGAGACCCATATCGACACAGTTCAAAAGTTTTACCTAATTTATGTTATAATTATGTCAGCTACAAAAACACTTAGTTTGAAGTTTGTCACCCTGGGGAACACTATGAACCAGTATAGCTGATTTTGGTCCAAATCTCGGCCATACTTCACACTTATTTGAACCACATTTTCTCGTAAATATTAAAATATTATAAAAAAGTAATTAATCCTGAATTATGTCGCTATTTTCTCAAGTGTTTTAAGATAAAGAATTTGTTTTTTGGTTTCCACAGTGAAGAGTATGTAAAAAATTCAGATAGGGTCGTCGAAATTTTAGATTTCGATTTTTTTTAAGCTATGCATTACAAAAAGAAATATTGGTATGTGATTTATGTCAACTCACATAAAACATCCAAAAAAATTTTTTGACAAAAGTACACCATAGAAAATCAATTTTCAATTTTGGACTAGGGGCGACCCTAGTCAAAATCAATTTTGTCACTTTTTTTCTTCGAGGATTTATACAAATGGATTGAAACTATGCATAAATATTCTAGTGCTTAAAACAAATACAAATAAAACATCCTAAAATTTTTTTGAGCAAAGAACCAAGAAGGAAATACATTTTCAATTTTGGACTAGGGGCGATCCTAGTCAAAATCAATTTTGTCACTTTTTTTCTTCGAGGATTTATACAAATGGATTGAAACTTTGCATAAATATTCTAGTGCTTAAAACAAATACAAATAAAACATCCTAAAATTTTTTTGAGCAAAGAACCAAGTAGGAAATACATTTTCAATTTTGGACTAGGGGCGACCCTAGTCAAAATCAATTTTGTCACTTTTTTCTTCGAGGTTTTATAAAAATGGATTGAAACTTTGCATAAATATTCTAGTGCTTAAAACAAATGGGCAAGACCGTTTTTCGATTAAGTGTCAGATTTTGCTATTATTTCGTTTATATCTCTGTAACGAAAATACTTACAGTAAAACTAAACATACTGTTTTATAGAACTTTTTGATGCCTAACTTTAGGTATGTAACTTTTTATTGGAAGTACTATACTTAAGGCTGTAAAGCCTGAAAATAGGCAAAATCTGACACTGAATTTTTGGGAAGGGTATTTGAAATTTTACTAAAACTAGTCTATCTCGCTTAGTTTTACACCGATTTCGATAGTTTTTTCACCAATAGTTAGTTTAAAACTACAGTTATCATTAAAAAGTAATAAAAACAAAATGGCGACTTAATAAGTTAATTTAATTAATGTTTTTAACCTTATTTTCCTATATTTTACTATCAATTTTTAACTTACTTAACTTTTTTCTTGACACCAATATAGTCTTAGACCTTAGCTTTATGATAGAAGCCAAAAATTTTTGAAAAAAGTAGTATAATTAACTTTTTTTGGTCATTTTGTAAAATTGCCTTTAAATGGCAATTGAATAGATATTCTTTTAATTTTATGATGTAAAATGATAATTATACATCAAATATGCTTAGTTCTTGCAAAATATATCACAATATAATGTTATAGAACAAGAAAAAAGCCAAAACTTTAAAAACTTTAACCAAAAATTTTTAACCGTTTTTGAAAATTTAAATTTTTGAGTTGATTAAAGAGTTGTAAAATAAACTTTTAGCTAAATTAACTAAATTAGAAGGCTTTATTGCAGTAAACTCTTGCAGGAATGTTGTAATTTATCATTAATTAATGCTTTTTGAGGGACAATAATGAAAATTTCATTAAATTTATATGTAAAATCAATTTTGGTTAATTTAACTAATTTTGTGTATTAATTTAAAAATGTGTGTATGATAAATGAAAGAAAATAAGATTCTCAACAACTTTTATTAACATATCAGCTCCTTTTACAGCTTCCTTCTTGGATAAAAATCACTTTGAATGTTTGATTTAGAAATTAAACTAACTTATAAAGTCGCCATTTTAAAATTGTTGGGTTAAAAATTTAGTTTTTATATTTGGCTATAAACCACTGAAAGAATTGTGATGATTGAATAACTAAACTCTGAGTAAATCAACTTTCAATATTTGTTCACTTTTTTCGCGGTCTTGCCCAAATACAAATAAAAGATCTTAAAAATTTTTTGAACAAAGAACCAAGTAGGAAATACATTTTCAATTATGAACTTGGGACAGGTCTAGTCAAAATCTAGTTTTTCACTTATTTTTTTTTTAAAGGATAAATCCAAATACAGTAAAACTTTGTATGAGCATTCTAATCCTTAGGTCACACATTTCTGAATTAATAAAAATGAGTTTTTTAGACAAAATTTTAAGTCTTGTTGTTTTTGAATGTACAACCAAATTTATAAAATTTGGGTCTGACGACATATAGAATACATTTCTTCCTTTAAATATTTAAAACTGTTTTATATAAATATTAGTATACTCACACAAAGTTTCACTGTAATTGGATAAACCCTCGAAGAAAAAAAGTGAAAAACTAGATTTTGACTAGACCTGTCCAAAGTTCATAATTGAAAATGTATTTGCTACTTGGTTCTTACCTCAAAAAAACTTTAGGATATTTTATTTGTATTTGTTTTAAGAACTAGAATATTTATGCAAAGTTTTAATCAATTTGGATAAACCCTCGAAGAAAAAAGTGACAAAATTGATTTTGACTAGGGTCACCCCTAGTCCAAAATTGAAAATGTATTTCCTACTTGGTTCTTTGCTCAAAAAAATTTTAGGATGTTTTATTTGTATTTGTTTTGAGCACTAGAATATTTATGCAAAGTTTCAATCCATTTTTATAAACTCTCGAAGAAAAAAGTGACAAAATTGATTTTGACTAGGGTCGCCCCTAGTCCAAAATTGAAAATGTATTTCCTACTTGGTTCTTACCTCAAAAAAATTTTAGAATGTTTTATTTGTATTTGTTTTAAGAACTAGAATATTTATGCAAAGTTTCAATCCATTTGGATAAACCCTCGAAGAAAAAAGTGACAAAATTGATTTTGACTAGGGTCACCCCTAGTCCAAAATTGAAAATGTATTTCCTACTTGGTTCTTTGCTCAGAAAAATTTTAGGATGTTTTATTTGTATTTGTTTTCAGCACTAGAATATTTATGCAAAGTTTCAATCCATTTTTATAAACTCTCGAAGAAAAAAGTGACAAAATTGATTTTGACTAGGGTCGCCCCTAGTTCATAATTGAAAATGTATTTCCTACTTGGTTCTTACCTCAAAAAAACTTTAGGATGTTTTATTTGTATTTTTTGTAAGAACTAGAATATTTATGCAAAGTTTTAATCAATTTGGATAAACCCTCGACAAAAAGTGAGAAAATTGATTTTGACTAGGGTCGCCCCTAGTCCAAAATTGAAAATGTATTTCCTACTTGTTTCTTTCCTCTATCTTCATATAGAATCGATCTTTATGTAGAAAGTTTCTTAGCTAGACAAAAACTATTGAAGAATCTACATTCTTCATCTAGTGTAGAAATCTACATTTTCAACACTGGTTTTAAGCACTTGAATATTTATGCAAAGTTTCAATCCATTTGGATAAACCCTCGAAGAAAAAAGTGACAAAATTGATTTTGACTAGGGTCGCCCCTAGTCCAAAATTGAAAGTGTATTTGCTACTTGGTTCTTACCTCAAAAAAACTTTAGGATATTTTATTTGTATTTGTTTTAAGAACTAGAATATTTATGCAAAGTTTTAATCAATTTGGATAAACCCTCGAAGAAAAAAGTGACAAAATTGATTTTGACTAGGGTCACCCCTAGTTTAAAATTGAAAATGTATTTCCTACTTGGTTCTTTGCTCAAAAAAATTTTAGGATGTTTTATTTGTATTTGTTTTAGGCACTAGAATATTTATGCAAAATTTCAATCCATTTTTATAAACTCTCGAAGAAAAAAGTGACAAAATTGATTTTGACTAGGGTCGCCCCTAGTCCAAAATTGAAAATGTATTTCCTACTTGGTTCTTACCTCAAAAAAATTTTAGAATGTTTTATTTGTATTTGTTTTAAGCACTAAAATATTTATGCAAAGTTTCAATCCATTTGGATAAACCCTCGAAAAAAAAAGTGACAAAATTGATTTTGACTAGGGTCACCCCTAGTTTAAAATTGAAAATGTATTTCCTACTTGGTTCTTTGCTCAAAAAAAATTTAGGATGTTTTATTTGTATTTGTTTTGAGCACTAGAATATTTCTGCAAAGTTTCAATCCATTTGGATAAACCCTCGAAGAAAAAAGTGACAAAATTGATTTTGACTAGGGTCGCCCCTAGTCCAAAATTGAAAATGTATTTCCTACTTGGTTCTTACCTCAAAAAAATTTTAGAATGTTTTATTTGTATTTGTTTTAAGCACTAAAATATTTATGCAAAGTTTCAATCCATTTGGATAAACCCTCGAAGAAAAAAGTGACAAAATTGATTTTGACTAGGGTCACCCCTAGTCCAAAATTGAAAATGTATTTCTTTCTTGGTTCTTAGCTCAAAAAAATTTTAGGATGTTTTATTTGTATTTGATGTAAGCACTAGAATATTTATGAAAAGTTTCAATCCATTTGGATAAACCCTCGAAGAAAAAAGTGAAAAACTAGGGTCACCCCTAGTCCAAAATTGAAAAAGTATTTCCTTCTTGGTTCTTTGCTCAAAAATATTCTAGAATGTTTTATTTGTATTTGTTGTAAGCACAAGAATATTTATGCAAAGTTTTAATCTATTTGGATAAACCCTCGAAGAAAAAAGTGACAAAATTGATTTTGACTAGGGTCGCCCCTAGTCCAAAAT